ACTTCGGCTTTTATGAGCCGAACCCACACCCCTCCCTTGGAGGGAGTGTAGGTTCGGCTCAACAAGCCGAAGTGCCCGCCGGTCATCGGACTAGCTCTGTACCGTATCCCATGCTGTTTGTATACTGTAAAAAACATTGAGTAAGAGTTGACAGACAGTAAAAGTGGCTGAGAAAGAGTGTGGGGGACACCACTAGATATTGAACCGCCCTGTTTTTAGTAGATCGGTCAGATCGTAACGCGGTGTCGACTAAGGCAAGCTGCTAACCGCTGAGACTCTCAAGTCTCTTCTCGAGGACGACGTCTTTCGGCTCACTCGACTTATCCGATTGACTTCCGCTCTTTGGGACAACCTACGCCCTCGCTTATAGGAACGAAGTGTTCGACCTGTTGAGCCGATGTGGGGCGCTACGTTCATCGGACAAGTTGCCGATCCCATGATGACCGTCCATTGCCAGTTGATTTTTCTAATACACATAGTGTACGCTATATACAGCAATACCAGGGGGTCGGTTGGCGGCCTTTTCTGACTACTCAGTGGGATTGCAGCGAGTATAAATGATCCTTCAGACACCGGTTTCTGCACGATTCTCCGCTTGCACGATGCGACAACTGTGCTCGTCATATGTTGAGAAAAAAACGAATAATCAAATGAGATCGTAGAAAATCAAAGTTAACAGAATTTTATTAATCAATATACTCTTTATTGCATAATAATCATAGTATGTTGTGAAATAATTATTTATCGTGGCGGGGCAAGTATAGAAATTCATCGTTAATATCGTCACTTATGTTATCTGTTCTAATCACGAACACAAAGCACCTGAATTTGGAGATAGATATGGTGCGCTAAATAAGTGCCACTGAATTATGGAATATTACTTAATAATAATAATAATTACGGCAACTAATTACTACAACTGTATACTATTATGGCGTCACTAGACCCCACACGTATACGAAAAAAAGGACGTCATGGACGTTAAATCACACAGGATTAAGGTTGCCGACTGTTACTGTTGAAACACACACAAACACACACGAAGCACACATACGAAATATCACAAAATATCGTCGATTATCGCAAAATATTACACTACAATCGAATATCGATGAGCAAACACCTTAAGGCACGTACGTAATAACAACACAGAGGAGCGTATAGCAGTAAATAGGTAAGTAGGTCTGATAATGTGTACTCGAATTTACAGATCTAAACCAATAGAAAATGAGCGGAAATCGCCTCGTAAATCAACAAGCTTCTTAATGTTTTGAAGGGGACACTGATCAAGGGGAAGGTAGGTCTCCTAAGAACGCATCCATCTTTCATTTGTGGATCTCTTAGAGTATCTGTGGGGATACACCACAGTACTTCCATCGGCAGCCTCCACCTCTTCAGTGTGCCCTCTTCCTTATGACTATAGAGATATAAGAAGCAGTATACAGTCAAGGGCGGAATAGCAGTTAAGATACAGTATCCAATACCGTAGAGGACCTTTATTATTGAGGGTCCCGGGAAACGGTAATGTGCACGGCGCCCTGTATAGCACGCAATCGTTCCAAAATCGCTGTCGGTGTAAGATCTGTGACACTCTCACCGTCCAACGATAGAAGACGGTCACCAACACGTAGACTGCCTAGAAAAGATGGTAATGACTTATGTAGCAGGCCTCTCAAAGGAAAAACCCAGAACAGCAAGAAGTGGTCTGAAATAAACAGGCAACACACCTTCTATTGCCGCCGAGGAATTCGCAGCGATCATTCTGATAAAAATACCATCAGAACCGGTTCGTTTCGCTAGCGACAAGCCTGGAATGTCCAGAAATCGAGACAGCAAGGTAGAG